TTTTCTATAAATTTTATTTTTAAATTCTATATAAATATTGTATTTATTCTTTATTTTTAAAATAATAAAATGACATCCTCATCATCATCATTAATAACTAGATTTAATCAAATAAATGAAGAAAATCAAAATATTAAAATTGAAAATGATAAATTACAAATTAAATTAATTGACTTGGAAAAAGAAAATGATAATTTTAAAGAAGAAATCGAAAAATTAAAAAAACTACTAATAAATTTTCAAAATAATGACAATACAACAGAATTATCTAATTTTAAAGATCAAATTAATGACAGTACATTACTTAATTCAGAATTAACTACTGAGAACATTAGTTTTAAAAATGAAATTGAAAATTTAACATCCCAGTTAGAAGTTTATCAAAATAGTGAAAAGAGTATTATATTATTGGAACTAGAAAAAAAAAATTTATTATTAGAAAACAAACAACTTCTAATCACAATAGAAGATTTAAAAAATAATAATCAAACTTCTTCAGATATAACAAGTAATGATAAAAAAATTTTAGAAGAAATCAAAAAAATAACAAAAAATATTAACTCATTTGATGAATTTAAAATTGAATTTGAAAAATATCTTTCAAAAAAACATACTGATAAATTACTTATTTGGAAATTTTTACTATGGGGAAATTAATACTTGAAAGTTTTCATAGCTATTTCTTTTAGAATTCTTGTTGTAATATTGAAAACTTTAAAATAATTTGCTCACTTTCATATAAAAGATATATTTTATATTTTTTGGAAATATTATTTTTTATTTTAATATTAAACACCATAACAACTATTTTTAGAATTTTATTTGTACAAATATTTTTTATTTCTTGGTTAGGATTTAAAATAATTATATCATTTATCAAGTTAATAATACTATATATTTATAAATTAGTTTTATTTATACTTAAACAAATTAAAAAATATTGTAGAGGATGTTGTTGTAACCAATATTGTGAAGTATTAGGATGGGTTATTTTCTTTTTTCTTTATTTTATATTTTTTAATGTTTAAACTTATTCTATTATTCTTTGCATATTTAATTGTAAACAAATATATTTAAATATTTAATTTTATAAATATTATTTAATAAATAAAATATAGTTTTAGCTTGTGTTTATACGTCGATATGCTGTGCCTGTATCGATAATATGGCTCGGTTCTTAGCCTCGCAGCAAATCATTGTAATAAACGTAAGCTAAAACATGTCCATCTAATATTTATTATATCCTTGTTGTCTGGTCGCTCGCCACTAGGCCCTTCTGCAAGCAGAAGCAGCTTAACAGTAACTTTGTTATGATGTATCAAACGCCAATTGTATGAATTTGGTTATGCTAAAGTATAACCAAATTAAATGCTAATTGTTTTTGATACATTTCACAAAGTTAAAACACTGAAATTTTTGAAATAATTTTTAATTATATAAATATATTTTATATTTATTAAATGAATAATCATTACAATTTTCAGTAATTTTATCATGTGCTACTTTAAAATCTATTGCTTGTTGTTTTGTTTTAAAATATTTTACTTTATATTTTTTATTTTTAGACCATTGAAATCTCCATCTATTACTAAATGTATCAAAACTAATCCCATTATATCTGAAGTATTATTTTTAAATAATTTATAATTTAATGCATTTTCTTTATGAGATGTTTTATATAAGTTTTCTTCTCTATTATCAAGTCCACAACGATTGATGTGATCGATAATTTTCCATTCTGAATAGATCATTCTATGAAACTGAATGTGTTTATTTGTAATATTTGATCTAATATAATATGTATTTCTATCTTTTTGACAATACCAAGTATAATTTTGAATAAGATTAAAATGTTTAATATTTGTGAGAAAAGTAATTTCTGGCTTTTGTGTTTTTATTTCAAAATATAGTTTAAAATTAATTTTAACAAGACGATATTCATTTAGTTTGTGTTTTGGTTTCAAAGAATTCATATATTTTTCCCAATTCGTAATTATTTCGAAACTTGAAAATATTTCTTGCCAATTCATTTTTTTCATCTTGCAGAATTGCCAGCATTAGCAGACCAGACAACAAGGATATAATAAATATCAGGTGGACAATAAGAGTTAGTATTATGAAAAGAAAATGAATGACTAGACAATATACGGTTTGAGATCACCCTCTCACCTTAGATTAATTATGCAAATAAAATTCTAGTTGGTCTAATAGACTAACTAGGGAAATTTGAGGTTATTATATAATTTATTTATTTATATTATGTAAAGTAAAAACTAAATAAATAATTTTATAATCAAATAAACATAAATAATAATAAAAATTACAAAATAAAATTTACAATATTTCACTATTTTTTTAAAATATATT